TTCTCGAACCCGATTGGGCATGGCATCTCGGCCATAAACCTTTTAGGAATCTCAACACCGACTTCTTCCTCACCGTATCGCCTGGTGGCCTTCTTGCGTTCACGTGTGATGCGGATGTCATATCACAAATTGTTTCGCGGCGTAATGACTTCCCCAAGCCGCTGGAAATGTATGGGATGCTGAATATCTTTGGGCGGAACGTGGTAACGACAGAGGGACCACTGTGGCGTCAACATCGAAAGATCACTTCCCCACTATTTACCGAGAAGAATTATGCATTGGTGTGGGTCGAGAGCTTGTCGCAGGCCCAGGCCATGCTGCATAGCTGGGTTGGAAAGGATGGCAAGGGCAATAGGACAATGAAAGATTTAGCTGGCGACACTATGAGATTGCCACTGCATGTCATTAGCCGAGCAGGGTTTGGTGTGAAACTACTGTGGCCAGGACAGGAGGGAGAGGATCTGGCTACCGAGAATAACGTGGGGAGCGTTGCCCAGGGAGTGGGAATGAGCAGTGCAGAGATACCGGAGGGGCATACGATGAGCTATCGTGATGCTCTGGGAACTCTGTTACGCCATATCCTTTGGGTTCTGTTGATGCCTCGTTGGCTTTTGAGTATGTAACTTTGTCTTGCGGCATTCGGACATCTCTAATGGTTGTATCTATAGGGAATTCTCCCTTAAAAGTCCACAAGAAGTCGTATGTGGCATATACAGAGTGGGGTGAGTATATGCGCCAACTCTTCGAAAAAAAGAAGGCCGAAATACTCGCAGAAGAGTCGAGGGAAGGATTGGACTTGATGGGTAAGCTCCTCTCGACTATCTCTTAGCCATTCTGGTGCTCTAGGGAGAGTGTGTTGCTTTTTCTTTTTCTAGAACATATTGGGATGGTGGCTTTCTTTAGCTGACAGGCTTTTTTAGGCTCTTTGGTAAAAGGCGCTGGCATTGTTGCTGATGCGCCGGGCGGCGACACCGAGAAGAGAGACTCTGGACCCACCAAGCAGCTATTAACAGATGAGGAAATCATGGGAAATGCATTTGTGTTTATTCTCGCAGGCCATGAAACAGCGGCAACTACACTTCACTACAGCATTCTTAGTCTTGCTCTCAACTCCTCCGCTCAACGCCATCTGCAGCAAGACCTAAATCACCACTTTGGCGATCGCCCTATTAGCAACTGGAATTATGAGACCGACGTCCCAGCGTTGTTTGGAAGTATGCCTGGCGCTGTCATGAATGAGACTCTGCGCTGCTTCCCGCCTGTTATTAGCATACCTAAAAGGACTCCAAAAGGTCACCCGCAAACCCTTATCTTCCAGAACAGGAAAGTCACCATTCCCGGAGGCTGTAAGGTCTCACTCGTTGTCGTTGGAACTCACCAGAACCCCAAATACTGGCCTGGTGACGACCTTCGGAAATTTCGGCCTGAGAGATGGCTCGTTGACCCGACTTCGGTAAATACCGCAAATGATAGTGCGGGTGGAGAGGGGGCAGCAACATCACTATTTAGACCTCCGCGCGGGGCATATATTCCATTCAGCGAAGGTTACCGGGCATGTTTGGGTCGGCGGTTCGCGCAAGTCGAAATCCTAGCCGTTTTAGCTGTACTCTTCCGCGAGTATAGCGTTGAGTTGGCGGTGGATGAATGGGCGACTGATGAGGAGGTTGATAAGATGCCAGTTGGTGGAGATGAGAGGAGGGCGGTATGGGAGAAAGCGGCAGAGAGGGCTAGGTGGTTGGTGTCTGGAGGGAGTAGCTCGGTTATTACACTGGGGGTGAGGGCGGGTAAGGTACCCGTTAGGTGGACTAGGAGGGGTGAGGAGAGGTTTGTTTTCGATGCTTAGGGTTTTGCTAGGAATGCATAGGAGGTCTTTTTGCGTTTTGATACCCTTTGCTTGGAGGTAAGCGTCATCGGTAACGGTGGCGCTATTTTATTGTTATTTACTGTAAAAGATGGTAACGAATGCCAATGCTCTTCCCAGATGAAGTCTCAAATCACATATTCTGCGTAGGGCTAGAAATTAGAGTGTTCATTCCGTTTCGACACAGCATCACAAACCCTGTGGAGCTCTTTTCTGATATTTGTTTAGGGACGATATGTAGTGAGGTACAGATGTAAATGCATTAAGCCACGCAGCAGGTGGAACCTAGTTAAGCTACCCCCCCAGATCGAGACCTAGGTCTAGGTCCATCCCATCAGCATCACATTCATGATCTTTCACACAGATTCCTGTCCGGCTACCAGGGTCCCCACAAGAGTGCCGAAAGGCAAGGGGAAAAAAGGCGTAAGGGCCGAGAGAGAAGCAGAAGAACCATCAGTAATCTAGAATACCAGTGCTGCGCCTTTTGTCTTCTTGTCTCCACTATACGTGCATCACACATGTCAGTTACTCATCACTGAATCTCAGGTGAAGATAAGGGTTTGGCGGATGCTGGAGTGTATGATATAGCCACGTACCCTAACTCGAAATGCTTGCACCGCTTCAGCGCTAATTGAGCCTTCGTCTTACAGACCGTACACTCGAGTCTCAGCACGACCTTCTTTGTTGTCTTGGCTTTCTTGTGGAACACGGGTTTAGTTTGGCCTCCGTAACCGGACTGCTTGCGGTCATAACGGCGCTTTCCTTGTGCGAATAGAGAAGCCTGGAGGGGTTTGCATGCGTTAGATGGAGGAAGGAGATGTACGGCGAGGTGGGATGAGATTTTTCTACCTTGCCAGCTTTATATTGGGTGACTTTGTGTTGGGTGTGCTTTTTGCAGTCTTTGCCTTTGCAATAGGTGCGACGAGTTTTAGGAACGTTAACCTAGAGGCATGAGGGAGTTAGTGAGAATTTGTTACTCTGTGGTAATTCCTAGGTTAATCCCGCAACGATCGTGGATTTAGTTTGTGGGAGTCGGGATTGGTACTGCATGAAGGAAGTCGAGGGATTGCGCTTGGTAGAGGTAGGCCGTTATTTAGTGTGAATGGCAGCCTTGGAGGTATTCCAAATTCGAAGATGGAGGAGTGTAGAGATTCGGTAATCCCAGCTCAAGTGATGCCTTGGAATGTCTAATTCCTCTTCCGCTGACGCCTGCAATCATCTCACTTAAAGGCTCCATAGCCATACCATACTTCTTCACTGTAGAAGTTCCACAAGGACACATTGGTCATGAGTGCTCCCCGCTGTCGTTGATTGACTGAGTGTCGTATCGCGAACCACCTCCACCAGTAAATACGGTCGCCATCCAAAACCCTCAGGGCGCGTATTACAAAGGTAGAAGAAAAACGGAGCTTACCATTTTGGCGATCTCTCAGGGTTTTTGTGAGATGTCGTTGTGGTCGTTGGAACTCCGTAATCTCGCCGATACTTGTGTTGGTGGTTCAGGTTTGCTGTGCTAAGCGAGGGACTGCTATTCTCTATATTTGTCGGTGAGCCCTAAACGAATGGCTTTTAGGGGCGGATAATAAATTGGCTGACAGCGACAAAACAAAAGGGCAAAGCTGAATTCTATACTACAAGCCTACTGTCTTATGTCTTACTAAGGCTTCAAGTCTCGTTTTGGGGTGAAAACCCGTATTATGATCCTACATAACAGTCTAATGTTAAGTATTAGCAGTCCCTCTATCGTCTTAATCCGTTCTTTGGTCTGAACGGTTGGTAGTCAGCAATTAATAGTTTTCCTTGGAAAGTACAAGGCCTCCCTTTAGAAACCTTGCCCCAAACGTATTGTCTCTCCACCTCCATACCAGAGTGCACCAACACGGCAATCTAATCCCTTCTCTTCACCAACTATCCATTCCCCCCCTTCCTTGGTAGGTGTTTCGCCTCCACTTGGCCAGTATTCGTCTTGGAGCCATTGATTGATATGCTCGATTTTCTCTACCCATAACTTCATCTTCTCCGGATCAGGTATTAGACTCTCAGAACCTCGGGCCACAAGAGAGAAATCTGTAGCATTGGTAAAACGCCCGATCGTAAGATGCGATGAGGGGATAGTGTAGCGTGACTCGATAGTAACACCGGCGCCTTGACTCAGATCATAGAGGTCGCGGCGAAGATGGTGATAGGTGTAATCATCATCACCTAGAAGGCGCTTACTTCCCGAAGCTTCATCTGCAGCGGGTAAAAAGCTTAAGGCTATCGCCGCGTCGTCATAGCTAAGCATTGGCTTCACGAGCCTTGCGCGGTGAGAAAATGTGTAATCAGTGATGATAGACACTCTTAGGCCCATCACATCGACAAGGTCTTGAATCTCCTGCAGGGTTCGCGAATAGGCGATTTCAAGAGTGGTCATGTGTAGGTTTTGCAAAGGCATTAACCACAGGTCTGCGTAGTAAGCATTGGCAAGTTGAACAAGGAGGTTTTGCTATGACTTACTCGGGGAGACTTCTTGAAGTTCCTTCTGTATCTCCCCGATTAAATCACGAATCTTCTTCGGGGGGCGAGCCCAAAACACCAAACAGTTCCTTGGATCCGTATACTCGGGTTCTATATCAGAGTTTTCTAGCTTCTGTAGTATTACGTCGGGTGTGACGCCTGGGAAGCTTGCATCAAGTAATTTCGTTTTTTGTTGACTATTTCGAGTCGTTCGATGTATGTTGTACCGGGCTTGAATTTGCATCTAGGGCATAGCTCAAAGTTAGGCGGACTAGTCGGGAATATAAGGGAAGAGGCTTAACTGAATCATTGTGGCAAGCCTCTATAAGAGCATCGTAAGGGTTGCCAGTCTTTGATGGGCCAGTACCCGATAAGTCCTCGAAGACACCCGTGGAGCATAGAAGTGTACTGGGCATTGCGTTGGCTTTTGATGAAACCGATGCCACCGCAGCAAGGGCTAAAATTTTTTCTCTGCAAGCTCTCTCGTTGTGTTGTGGGCCAGATACCAACCGGCGTAGCGGCTAGTTCTGGGTTGGTATTTCGGTATGCTTCATAATTTAGTAGCCGGACACCGAATAGATTATCTCGAAAAAAAAATACGCCAGTAGGATTTTCTTAGTGGTTAAGAAAGGGAAATAAAAAATGAGGGACAACGGATTTGAACCGCTAGCCTTTCGATGATTCACATCGCTGGAGTCGAACGCGCTACCGTTGCGCCAGCCCCCCAAGTTATATAAAAGATATCACTGCTAAAACACACTATATTAAAAACTTGAGATTTTTATCACGTGAAACTTGACGATTTATTTCGCCCTTGTTAACCCAAAGTTTTCTATCCTTCTGAAGGGTTTTTATTTACGGGGTGTGTACACATACGCTCCTCGTCAGTAGCCATGATCTTACAAGAGCCCATCACAGACCTAGCTTCGAAGTTGGTGGTGACCATTAATGGCTGATAGCCCGGATCTTGTTGTTCATACAACGTCGTCCCTCGAACCATCACACAATGTTGCACCTGATCCCGATCTAGGTGGTTCAGAATCGGAGTGGGAATATGAGTACGACGATAATGAGACGGAGGTTAGCACAGTTACCGCGAGCTTTACAGTGTGGTTTTACTAAAGCTAGCTAATGTCGCAGACCTTCTACGTGACGGTGGAGCTTACGCCTGGTCTGTCTGCGCCCAACACCAAACTCCCGAGGAAGCCGAGGGATTCTCATGGTATTCATGATGCCGATGATCAATCTGCAGATGATGGAGATGCGCCGCCAGAGGAAGATGATCTAAACGGTGTGGAAGAGCGTCACGAGTTCGAGGAAGACATGCCTCATCGAGTTCAGATCCTTGACCTTCATTCGCTAGATCCACTTATCTCCTTCCAAAATCGAATTCACCACTGCGAATGGGCCTCTTCCGTTAGCTCCTCACTCTTCTTTACTGCTCATGACCCCTCCAATCCATCCATCCCCGTAGTCCGCTCTACACCGCATTTCGATCTAATTGGCATCTCCTCTTCCCGAATGACCTCTTCAGCCACTCACCTCGCACCAAGGAATCCTGGTCGCCCAACTCGAGATGATCTTTTTATCACGGAAGGACCTCCCCGCCAGCAACCACAAGACAATATCACCTTAACGCCCACTACGGTCGGTACGCTTATGCCGATACAGTTGAACCCCTCAGTCGATGCTTCTCGCAAAGCACAAGCTTCATTCCTCGAGCGCCTTTCCGCCATAAAACGTACTGCAGGCGAACAGGACGAGGTGACTGTCATAGCAAAGAAAGTGTTACACGGCACTGGATGGCGGTATCAACGGCGAAGTAAACTGCAAATGCTTGAAGATAGGGTAGAAGAGGGTGATGAGCTTGCGGAAAGGGTATTGGCGGATATGTATATGCCGAGTCGGCGGCCCGAAGTAGTGGGACGGCCGGAGATCGGCCTGGGCAGTAGAGGCGGCAGGGTGAAGACAAGATACGCAAGAGGAAGACCCGGAAGACCAAGAACGTCCGGCATGACGGCATTGTTCAATCACACAGTTGCGGGTGCCAGTAGGGAGGAGGGGAGTGCAGAACCTTTAGGATACACACCAGAATCTTGGGATGAGATAGAAGCTAGACTGTGCCCAAGGAAGCCACCTCATCCTCCTGGGGGGTCACATCCTTTTGGGGCATCACACCACCCTGAGGCGCCACATCCTCCCCAGGATGTACCATGGCCTGTAACCAGATACCAAGGGGAATCAGTGGGGAACAAGGAGATTAGCTCCCCCTAGCGTAGCCTCTCAGTTATTAACGTCAGATCGGCAGATGGGGCAGAAGATGTTAGCATGCCTGATGCTCCTAACTAAATGGAACCCATAGTTTACAGTTTCCATCTTTCTAATATATATCAGCCCCTTGCAGTTATAAAAGAAGCAGCCCAAATGATAAACCATGTGTACTTTTCCATCCTGTGAAAGTCTTATGATATCGCTCTGTCAGTGTATGGTGTTCTCCAAGTATATGCGCAAACCTGCTTATGGCTCAATACCATGCTTGTCTCATCTGCTCAGATAACGTTCTCCCCAATCCTCTCAACCTTCAGCACTCGCATTGCAGGCGTAAGATTTTAGCCTAACGGCGCTAGCCTCTGAAACCCCTCCTCAATTCGAAATGACTCGGGCTTCGGCATGTTCCGTCAAGACGCGTTAAGTGGTGTCGCGAACGCGCGCATTTCTACAATTTTCTTGATCGCTTCGTCTAAAGTCATCACCTTCGCTCTTTACTATCTAGGAATGATCTAGCAGGCTTAATCTCGGATATTGGCTTTATCATAATATCTATTTTCTCTCTCTACACCTTGTTCTCGATACGAGCAAGCAATTCGAACAGTATCAACAATGACGTCTTCATCCGATCCGCAAGATATCGTTGTTACCGTACCCCCGGCCCAATCTGCCACAACTGACGATCGTGAGCCAAAGCTAGAAGAGCTTGCAGCAAAAGCAACTCTTCAATACTCCCTCAAGAACTATAGCTCTGCGACCGATCTCTATGCTCAGGCCTCCGAACTTCAGGCTGAGATCAACGGCGAAGACTCCTACAAGAACGCCGATTTGCTTTTTCTCTACGGCCGAAGTCTCTACCAAGTAGGTGTGAGCAAGAGCGATGTTCTAGGTACGAAGGTCGCTGGAGGCGGAAGCGCAGATGGCGCTGGAAATGCAAAGGAAGCGGAGAGCAGCACAGCTGGTAATTCCTCAAAGGTTGAACAAGCAGTCGCTAGTAAGGCGATCGCAGAGGGGACTGAGGCGAAGGATCGTGCCGGGAGCTCAAAGGCAGAGAGTGGACCCCCGAATAAACCCTTTTTCCAGATCACCGGTGACGAAAACTTTGATGATACTGACGATGAGGAAGGTGACGAAGGCGCAGAAGGAGGTGACGTAGCTACTGAAGAGGAAGATGACCTTAAGGCTGCTTGGGATATTCTAGATCTCTCACGCGTTCTCTTCGTTCGTTGGTGGGGGGAGGTTCAAGACGAAGACAAGGGGAAGTCTACTGAGGAACCGGAGGATGTTAGGCACATCAAGGAGCGCCTAGCAGACACACACGACCTGCTTGCTGAGATCTCTCTAGAGAGCGAGAGCTTCCAGTCCGCTGTAGCGGATTTCAGAACTGCGCTGAGACTGAAGGAGGAACTATACCCCGAAGACTCAAGTGTCCTCGCAGAGGCGCATTTTAAGCTGTCGTTGGCGCTTGAATTCGCCGCGACTACTGCATCTGGAGAGAATGGAGAAGAGGAGCCCAAAGTCGACGAATCTGGCAGAGAGGAGGCGGCCAAGGAGATGGAGGCAGCAATTGCGTGCTGCAGGCTTAGGGTGCAACGAGAGGAGGCGGAGCTGGTGGCTGGAGGTGCCGAAGGGGTTGAAGGAGGGCATGTAAGGAAAACTAGGGTGACGAGAAGAAGCATCGACGATGTGAAGGAGATGATTGCGGAGATGGAGCAGCGGGTAAGACCTCCCTTAATTCCTATTCCACTGGGTGCTTGTCATCTGTAAAGTTCATATGAGGCTAACTCTCCTAACAGCTCACCGATCTACGCGCCTCACCAGTTCCATTTAGTGCCACCCTTGCAGACATTGGTGTGCACGATGGTTCAGGAACCCTTGGCAGCGTTCTTGGTTCTATCCTCGGCGAATCGCCAATAGAGCAGAAGGCAAGACTTGAAGAGGCTTCTAAGAATGCTAAGGACATTTCTGGCTTGGTGAGGCGGAAGAAGCACGTTTCAGTGCCGAATGAAATGGGCAAGGCAGAGAACGGGGTTAATGGAAATGGAAAGCGGAAAGTGGAGTTAGTAGAGGCGGAGGGCTCTTCGAAGAAAGCCAGAGTTGAGGATGCCTCTGATTAATATCTTACGGTTTCCTCTTCCTTTAACGTGTATAATATATTATTTCCGTGGGCTACTCACGAATGGCGGCAACTCGTAGAATTCAATTTAACGATTCTTTGAATGAGTGGATTAGTAAGGATATCGATCCCAAACTGGTAATGCCGAAATTCTACACGTGACATATATAGTGTATAGTGAATTAGTCAGCCCGTGATTTTCCTAGAAAAGGCAGAACATCTCAGCGTTTCTTTGACAGTCCTTCTTCAACCCACTCCCTTCGTCATCCTCATATCATCCCTCTTCCAGCCGGCTTAACACAGGGAGGTCCTTTCGACGCTCCTACAATAGATCCCGTACTTGACCTTACGATTTGCAACGTGTTGTTGTCTCTCTTCGTTCCGGTAGTCTTTCTGTTACACGACGTGTCTTTGCCACCGGGCGGCGACGCGAAGCTCGTTGAATAGGAACGGGCTGGATTTCACACAACCAGAAGATCTGCTGTACTTATTTAATCGTGGACAATAATAAGCAAGAGCAGGTTTCTAAGAGTGGAAATATCAAAAAGATCAGGGCTCTGTTGTACTGTCCTGTCTACATACATTTCGGTGTGGATGACGGACGTTTTGAGGGTTCCCAGCCGCCTGAATTTTGTTACGCACCAAGCTTCTGCCCAACACAATCAGTGTATCTTCAACGTTTTGCATTCTCACATTCATTTTCGAAATCTTTGTGTTGCCAGATTGTGCTTCGCTGTTCTTGGTATCAAAAATTCGATTCCCTAATCATCAAGAAATCGAAGCTCTGGTGCCAAAAAGAAGATATCGTTCTAGGCAATACTAGCCTTTCACACATTCCCCGTTATATACTGACCGGAAATCGCACGGGACTTAGCTATCGAGATCAGAGATCTAATAGCTATCCTTGACGATATTTGTCGCTTGAAAGTATCCCTTTATTTCGCGGAGTCTTATTGTCGCCAAACCTCAACGTATACGAAGCGCCTGTCTATTGTACTTCAGGCTCTATTGAACTACCCGTCCTCGCAACGGCGACAGCAGCTGGACGGTCTGGCACCAACTGTGCTTCAATCCTAACAACCTGTCCCCTCAACTCCAACCTGAGTAGTCTCGGAGCATATTCTTGTACATCATGTCTTCGTCTGTGTTCTTTAAGTTCAAGTCGCAGAAGGAGCCATCTCGGGTCACCTTTGATGGAACAGGAATCTCTGTCTTTGAACTGAAGAGGGAAATTATCAACATCAATCGTCTCGGTGACGGTACGGATTTTGAGTTGGCTGTTTATAATGAGGATTCCAACGAGGGTATGTATCACGAACCCCATCCTCTCCCCTCGGGAGTG